GTCTAGTGCATGTGCTCAATAAGCCTTTGAAATGCAGTAGGAAATGGCAGTGTAAGTGTCTCAGGGTCCTTTGAAAATCCTATTGTAGGAATCGGGTCTCATGAAGACAAATGGAATCATTCCCTGACTCTGCTATAGTTTGGCTTTATGATCCCTGTGGATCCCCGGGTTGACATTAATGACTGTGCAGAGACACTGGGAGCTTTTCAAGGTCTTCAGAGTGTTTCCAACAAATATCAGATTTGGAAGGGTAACATTTTTCTCCCCACCAGTTACGCGTGAACTCTGTTTGACTCAGGCAATTACATCAGCTGGGATTTTGGGGTGATCATCAGGGTCAAAGTAGCACATGGTTCAATAGATGTCAGTGGAGCTGTCAACTCACAAAACCCCACAACTAGGTCCCAGTGATTTTAGTAGAGATATTGATGGTTTGTACTGGTGAATCACTGTGATCAGGCAATGAACAGTTTTCTGGTCCTTTTGGTGGCAAGCAGGGAGTCCAAAGCATACTCAGAAATTCATGCTAATGAAGGAAAAACAGATTTTCTAAAAGAAAGAAGATCCTTTATGCTGTCACTACGCTTTGCTGCACATATTGCAGCATATAATTTATTGCCTGTACTATTTCTTATTTCTTTTGTGGCTGAAAAGATTATTCAACGATGTTTTTGTTCCTCTAGCAAACAATGGCAAATGTAGCTCATAACAGAAGTAGAACATTTCCCTGCTTCACTGCTTATGTGATAAGATAATTATTCCAAAAATATGCTCCCACTTGCCTCTCAGCAAGCTAGGGGGAGCTGTTATTATATTAGCTGGTGACAAGTTACCAAAAGTTGTGAGAGAGAGGCTCAACAAAGTGTATGGAGTGTTTGGACATGTCAACAAAATGTAAAGACAAGACAGGTAAGACCATCTGCTGCTCACATCTGAACAAGAAATGGTAGATTACAGAAAACAACAATTAACCCTGGGGTAAATCCAAAAAGTCTTCCCTCATAGGGTCTTTCCCATGTACAGCTTGAATGACAGCTGGCAAGGACCTTGGAAGATAAGGTTGCACCATAAGGATCCATGCTACAGAGAAGAAAAGACAGGAAGTTTGGGTAAGGCCAGCAATGAAGAGCTGCTCAGATGACTGCACACTAGTTTGTGCATGTCACATCTGTGTAATTTCACAGATTTCAAAATCTTCTTTCTTATTTGAATATCTTCAATTACTGTCTATTACTAAGAATTGCTGCATGATTCTCATCCTACATTTACTGATACTTTGTGAAAAAGTTAACTACTCACACAGTTGCCTCTGGTTTTCCTACAGTGTTTGTTCTCTTTCCCTCCCTAGGTTTTTTGAAACAGGCTTTCATCTTCAGGCAGAGTTCAGACACTGAAACTAGCAATTTTCTACTCCTGGCCCGAGCCTCTTGGTGGGATCCTGATTTTCCTCACTACTGCTAATCAGGGACAAACCCACTTACAGGAGATGATCAGCTCCCTGCTGCTCTAAGTGGGATAATGCTGCTACACTGACCTTCACCAGCAGACAGTGGCTAAGTATAAAATACCACAATACAAACTGATATGAGAGAGAGCTCAGCTTATGTTTCTGTAAACATGAAAAAATCTCCATTTGCTCTCTTAGGTTTTTCTTTAAAACAATGTACTGAAATTTGTAATGTTCATCCCCCAAGGCTGCTGTTTTCTTCTTTTATTAGACATATCTCATATGCAGCCCTTGTAACTTTCTTTCTCACTTGAAGAAGTCAGTCCTGAAAATTGCTGGCTTTATATGTACATTCTGAGTTGAAAGAAAACCACAGAGTACATTAGGCTCCAGCTTTCTAATTATCAGTTCATAATGAAGGACTCTCTTTGTGGGGAAAAAAATAATTTCCTGAAGGTTGAACCTCTGCAGGGTTTCCGAGTCTTGGAAGAAACTATAGATTGTTTGACATCGAGTCTCTCTGCATTCACAGTGCAGAATGGAAAATTCCAGCTTAGCCATAGCCCCCGTATCCCAGAAAAGCAAGTAGATATACTGCAGCAAGCTGGGAGGCGGTGCTGGAAGAGCAGTGCATCCTGACTGTGAGCAGGCACACTCCTTTCCATGTATATAAAGTGCATTAAAACCAGAAATGGATGATTCAAGCAGTAAAGCTCAAAAACTGCAAAGAAAAATATGGATAGAAGTGCACTCCATATGACAGGTCGAAGTTCAGCAGTTTTAGGAAAAAATACAAATTGTTTTTTTCTTCAGAAAGACCTTTTCCTTCCCCAACACTCCATTTCATCTAAGTGCTAACCCCCATTAAACCATTCACAGAAGAAATCCAGAAAGTCAAAATCATAAAAACCAAATTAAACTGACTAACCAATGCCAAGTTTTTATACTTGAAAATGCTCAACTGCCAAACCCACCACTTTTGAGAGACTCTCTAATTGCTCCCAATTTTCCAAGCAAGATGTACAGACATTGCCAGGGTACGCAGGCACTTACACACTTGAGAAACATAAGTTACAAGCTTTTAATTTCCTAAAAAATAAACAATATAACTTCAGAGAAGGCTGCCCCAAAGTGCAGATGTTGTGAAACAGCAAAAGTGGTACAGGAGTCGTACAAAAGTGATTGCAATTGCTGTGCCAGCCCGAAGCAAGTTAACAGCTCATTCCTTAAGAGACTGGTTTCATTCCATTTTTACATCTAAACTGATGCTTCCTTCAGCTGAATTGAAGTCCTTGTCTTCAGTTCATGCCCAAATTACTACCTACTGGGAAAAAAGGGCCCTGTGGCCTCTGAGAGACAGCAGATGCTGCCAGAGCAGGATCTCCTGAGATTCAAGGAGGCCTGTGCAGCCTCTTGGTGAGAGGCAAAGCACAGATGAACCAAACCCCACAACTGCTGTGCTGTGCTTGGGTGAGGGAGGGGCTGGCAGGTTTTAGCAGCAGGAGAAGGAGTCAACTTTCAGCCACCTCTCAGACACCGTGCTGTGACAGCCTGGAACCAGAGATTTCATGTATTCAGCTCGTATTTTTGTATTTCTGTATTAAAAGCATTGGGGTGTTATCTCCCTTAAGACTGTGATCTTTCATGTGGGGTTTCTGCTGCTCCTTTAATGACTGTCTTACCCTTGTTGCCTAATTCTGCAATTTGTATTGGCCAGATAATCTTCTTGTATTCTTCCACAGCCTGATCACTGCTCCATTACAGAACCTCTCCTTGCTTGGACAAAGTCAATCCTACACAAACCTTTTCAGATTCTCATCTCAAGGTCAGTCTCCTCACAAGTCTTTCATGACTGCCATTAAAGGTTTGCTGTCCCCATGCCCAGACAGCTTTACTTCTTCAATTTACACCCCAATATCTCTTTTCTCAATTTGCAGATTTCTCTCCAGCTCCATTATTTCATGATTTCTACCATCATGTCTGTGCACAGTCATTCTCTGTGTCATTTTCCATTCATTTCCAGAACACTCACTAATGCCACTCTAAAAACAATACATTTCTGCCAAGCCTGACAAATTGAATCCATCAAACAGAAAATATTTTTGGAATTTAAAGAGAAAACACTGTATTACAGTGAAATCTGTTCTTGGTTTCTGGTCATAATCCTAAATTCACTGTTAACAACAGAACTGTTACATTACATACATTGTACAGACTTTTTGCTTGTTTGAAATATGATTTTTGGAAAATAATATTCCCACATTCTCTGTCTATGCCTGCTGCTGAAAAGTGAGTGTAGAGCATGTGCTGTGCCCACATCCCATTCTAGAACATATACAGAGCACAATTCTTGCAAAGAAAAAGGCTGTCTTTTACAATCTTCTTTATTTCCATCACTTTATGGGAACATCCTACTGGGAACATCCTACTGAATTATTTCTCTTGGGAGAGAATTTTGCAGTCAGGGCATAGGGTTTAATCAGCTGCTATCAAGTTATTAAGCCAGTTCATAAGGAGTGAAACTGGCTAATCTGCACTCTGTGGTCAGCTGTTTTTCAGATTCCTTGTGCAACACTTTCTATAGCCATTTATTATCTACCAAATGTGCTTTGCTGCTTGCAACAACGAATAGGTTTTCATTCTGTGTATTATTAGTTTCCAATCTGCAAGTATGTAAAAATAACTGCCTTTCTCATTTTGGAGCTGTTCTATCTGAATGGCTCATATTTGTATCAAAATCTCCAGCTGTCTTTGTTCTTTTTTTCATTTAGTTGCAATTGCAAACTAAACTGCATTGCTCAGCTGAAGCAGCCTGGGCTTCCCTCAGGAAGACACTGACTGTAGGAGAAAAGCAAGACCTAAAGCAGGGACACTCCGACTCCCCTGGCAAGGAGCCTCTTGTTGCCCATGGCCCAAGGAATTGGCACAAGCACAGTGCCAGAGCAGCCCATGGGTGCTGGGAGCCCTTGTAGGCACCTGGAGATAGGAGTGCCAGCGCCACCGGGGGGTTGGAGAGAGCCTGGAAGAGTTAAGAAATATGAAAATCTCTAGTCCAAAGGTATGAAACCTGAGGCTTGAGGAACAATCAACTGGCACAGTATGTGCCGAGAACACACAATCTGCCCTGCATGTGCTTTGAAGCACTGGATCAAAACACCTGTTAGTAAGGAATTAAACTGTTCCTGGAGGCTTTAAAAGCCTTGCCACAGCCCACAGTTCCATGGCCCTCCACGTGACATCAGCATTCTGCATCTTAATAGTAGGATTTAGAGCCAATTCACAGGTTACTCATTCTGTCCCAAATCCAATATTGCAAGCTGCAGCTTATGCAATGTGATGCAGCACTGTCATTCCTCACAAAGAGCCTTGTCACCTTGCCATTCCTTGCATAGGTAGTCCCATTTTCAGTCTGCTTCTTTCAATGGGAAATTCATCATCGTAAGATCAGAAGTTCAGCTGTACACTGCTGGTCTACTCACTATTTAAAATTTTGTAGCAGAAGGACTATAATAAGAAAATCCACATTTTACAGAAAAGGTCAGCGTGTACTTACGTAATTTGATGCAAGATCTGGATGCAGATAATCAATTCCTGCAGTAACACAATGACAGAACAGAAACCAAAGGTTACAACTTTCAAAAAAAATTTTCAAATGATCACAGGACAAGATTACCTTGCAACCATAGGAAAATGATCATGGCAAAGACTGTAACAGGGCACTGGTGTGGAATATACTCATTCTAATGCATGGCTTCTTTCTACATATGGCAAATGTACAAATCCTAGTGGAAGGTGTAACAGAAGCAGTAGATCTAAATTCAAATGGGATAACCTGAGCTATTACATATCCAGTTGGGGTCCCCTGGTGGCCTAGTGGTTAGCATGCAGGACTCTCACCGCTGCGACCCAGGTTCGAATCCCAGCCAGTACCCCGGGCAGATGGAGCCCGTTAGCCCTGTGAGGCCATCCGTCTATGAGAAGGTCACTCTAAACAAACCTACGTCCTGAGGACCTCACTGCCATTGTCCAAGCTTGCTTGGCCCCGGCAGATGAACCTTAGGATTAAAGGGTGGGCTCAGTTCAGCACAGGCTGTGTCTCACCTAAAAAATCCATTGCGCAGGCTGGAAAGGTAAAAAGACCTTTCCCCAAATCTTCGTTCGCGAAGACTGGCCACATATCCAGTTAAAACATACAAAGAAATGGCCAGCAATCCCATATTACATTTTCATCATTACTCTCTCATGTCTCTCCAACCACAACACCATTATAAGCTCTATTTTATTTGCAATGAGAATGCCATATCATCATGGTTATTCTGATGAGAAGATTATCTCCAATTTTGTAGTGTCTTAGCACTAGATTTCTATGAAGAGACCCTTGTACCTTACTGATCCAAATGGTAAATGGCCAACAAAAGCCTCAGTGAAGAATCCTGTTATTCGGGCCCTCTTTTCTGAAGTTACTGGAAACAAATTATAAGGCAAAGCTTTCTCTAAAAGCTGTATCTGATGGGCAATCAGCTTAATTTGACCTGAAGCTCAAATAGTTTGCCATCATTCCCATCACAGTCATAATCTGAAAGCCAAGTCCTGCCTCTCTGGGATCAATGAAATTGTGACACATTAGAGATCATCTCTCCCATGAGATTGATCTTTCATCAATATACAGACCAGGTTATTCAAGGCCTTATCCAACCTGGCCTTGAACACTTCCAGGGTTGGGGCACCCACAACCTCCCTGGGCAACCTGTTCTGTTATCTTGCCACCCATACAATAAAGAATTTCTTCCTACTATCCAGTTTACTTTCTTATTTCCACAAAAACCTTGTCTTAGGAGTAAGCAAATGAGGAACAGAAGTAAGTGAGGACAGATCTCAGTTGACCCTAGAAAACATATGTGGATTCAAATATTTTAGTTATTTATTTTTAATATAATTCATTCTCCATAAAAGGAAAATATTCAAAATTTATTGCAAAGAAAAGTGTTGAGACATTGCACAGAATTCCTGTACTTCAGCAAGGAACCCATAAGTAGAAAAACTATAACTTCAACTGTAACTTTTATGTTCATCTTTCCTGAACTTAGCCTCAAATTAGTAATATATTTAGTATGCAGATCTTTATTGACATTCAGCATAAAAGTGTTAATTATTTCAGCTGTCAAGTATGACTAAGAATAATGTAACCCAGAAAACATTTTCTTAAGTATTTTTTGCAGAGCAATTACATCCCCCAGTCAGTGCCTACAGAAGTCAAGGGGAGTTTTTACTTTGGTTCAATGGCCATTATAGTTTGCCCTGGAAGATATCTGAGTGATAATTGCAAACTACTTTTAATATTTGGATAACCATGCCTCAGTATCCCTAGTGAAGTCTTTGTATATAATATTTTCCCTGAAGATCTCAAGGTCTTTATGGAGGCTAATAGTCTCACCACTATAAGCAATCTATTATTACTTTTTAATCTTTTTTTTGACTTTGACTACATGAAAAAAAGCTACTTAAAAATATTAAATTAGCACTCAGTCTTCACTTACCATCATCCATAATTCCTATGGTTACTCCCTTCCCTGTGTATCCCAGCTCCCATGCTTCGGCTACATTAAGGTCAAGTCCAGGAGTCCCATCTGCTTGACCAGTGTTAATCTAATAACATCAGTGAAAAAGAAAAATAGTTTTTTTTACTTGACTGACATATTCCCACAGTAACTGAATTTTTCTTTATGTCTTTGCATGTACCTTTGGTATGGAAAATATATCCCGTTTGTTTTGGGGTGCACATCTGTACATAATCATATCTACTGCAACAATGCAACTGTAAAAAACCCTAAAAAAACCAATACTGGGTAAATTCAATTCTTTGTAGTTTATAAGATTTGGTTAAACACTGAATCTTTTGGACTCCAAAAAAGACTTTTCTGCTTAAGCATGTCAAGCCAGTGGGTCAATCCAGAAAAAAGTTACACCAATGGATTTTACAGAGTACTTACTTATGAGCAGGAAACCCTTTTCTCTTGAAAGCAAGGATCTACTACATAGCTTCCTAAATTTTTGTTATTTTTTATCACTGCAATATTTTGATGAAGTACCAGAAAAAAAATCCACACTTTATTTTATCAACTCATGAAGGATGAAATCCCATCCATGCTAATGTGCCCCCATTCATCTGAAAACTCTTGCCTTATGAAAAAAACCCACAGCCATACGGGATGCATTCATAAAACGTAAGAAATGGATTAAGAGGAAAGAGAATAAGAAACATTGCTCTTAAGCAAAAAGACCTTTCTAAAGTTAACGAGGCAGTACTGCATTTACTAAGTATCATAAATAGATTGCAATGTTAAAACTGACCAGAATTACTTCATCAACTTTTTAAAAAGAAAAATCATTTTAATACTGATAGAAATTTATTTACTTTCACATAAAAATATGATTTATCCTTTAAGACTAAAGACTTCTCCCTATAAAATATGACACATTAAAAATGAAACAATTTAGAAGAATATCAATTTCTTTTGACATTAGCTTAAGCCAAAATTCATTATTTTTCTGCTGTTCTGAGTCTGACAGAAGGAAATCAATTAATATTCAAATTTCCATAAGGAAATAAACCCCTCAACTTTTGCTAGCCAAGACACCAGAACTTTTTGTTCTAAGTCTATAACAATATTTTACCTGGCATCAGCTCAAAGATATGATTCATATGCAGTTTTAGGGATCACATCAGCACACCAGGAATGCCCACAGGACATCAGTACAGTTCTCTTTTAAGCCTTCTAAGGATCTTTCCATTGACTGAAATGAAATTTAGCTCTCGGAACGTGCTGGGTCTTCCCAGTATAAAAGGGGTACAATTAAAAACGACACAACAGATGCTTGGATCCATTCCCAAATTCTCGTGGTGTAGGTGGAAAGAACTCTTGTAAAACATTGCAGCAGCACAGAATGGCTTGAATGACAATTATTTAGGTATGATCACTGTGATTTTCTTTCAAAACTTACCAGGTACCATTGCTTTGTAAATAAAGGGTCGTTCATGTTGATGTCAATGTCATTGATGTCTCTATAACCTCTCTTCCTTCTGCTGAAGCCCTCCTGTTGCACAGCTTTCCTCACCTGGAAGAGTTAATTTTTACATCTTTAGCTCAACATTCTTGACCATGAAGCTTTTTAATCTTTCTTTCATGAGAGATAAGGGTTATGAAATCACACTATTTGTGTGTGTGTCATTCCTTTGCAACTTCTAAACTGGAGACTGATTTCAGTCAAAATTCACAAAGAAGTAGAGAACTCCAGGGCTACTGCCGGCTATGAGGGAAAGGGACACTCAGAGTGTCTTATCTGAAGGAAAGCCACAACATGAGCATGTTATAGACATCAAACAATCAGTGTAAGAGCAAGCCCCTATCCAGGCATCATTATCATCATCAATTTTCTTGCCATACTTTTATTTTTCATTGCCACCGAAATAGAAGCTAAAATTATTTAACTAATTCCAAATATGCCACAGTTCCAAGCTGCAGACATTTGGTAAAATGAGGATGCAGGTCTCAACCGCACTTTTACTTTTTAAAAATTTTTCTCCAGGGCATTATCAAAGCATTAGATAGCCTTTCCTGCCAAAGAGGTTTGCTAGAAGAAAAAAATATGGTGGTGTGCACTTTCATCATACTCCTAAGGCTCTCAAAAATGTACCTTGAAAGTGATCTTCTTTCAGATATTATCCTTGCAATATAAAAGTGATAAATAAATACACTGGCAAGAAAAACTACACGGCAAAAAAGCCACTAAACTGATCAAACTGGCTCTTTTGTAAGATACAAAAATACAGATTATGAAACACAAGTAGCCATAGTTTTTTTAGAAATCATTTGCTTTATGCACAGCAAATCCACAAAACATTTAAGTAAGCACTGTAGAAAACAAAAGAAGTCAGACACACAAATATCTTTGGAGACAGGAGCTTCAAATGCCATAATCACCTTACTTGTACTCATGTAAAAGAGCATTTCTAGAGGAGACTACTGAATGGTTGTAATTGGAGTTGTAACATGTACTAACATACAGACCTTGCAAAAGTGCTGTCAAGTTTGGCATACTCATTTTGTACTCTTTAGCCTAACACCTGAAAACAAGGTAGCATGAAGAGTCCCAGCATTTAATTTAAAAAACAAAAAGCAAAAAAATCTAGCCTTCTTGATCAAAGAGGAGTGCTTAAAACCATAAACTGAGTACACCCTGAGGTGCAGCAAGAAGGCAGTAAGACCCCTAACATTTCCTTAGGCATATTCTTGAAAAGAATGCGTGGTTATTAAATAAATCTAATAACTCGGAGAACCTTTTCTACCTTTGTGGCTTTGGCATTTCAGATTAAAAATGCGTATACAGGAGTTACACCGCTGTGTCACAGCAACTCATATATACAGTGTCAGTGAAAATCAACAGAGGAGAAATTCATCCAAAGGCTAAATCAGATCTTAGGTCAGTTGAGTCATTCTTGGATGTGTCCTTCTGTCTCCATTAATTAAAGCAAGAGCCTCAAAAGACAGTGCTCAGTGAGGTGTCTAAGTCAGAGATTAAACTGGGATCTAACTGATGGGGGCTAAAAGCTATTTTCCTCAGAGTTGTATTGCTTCATTATAACCCCAAAAACCTAATACCAATTCATAGAGAGCAGGAAGGGGCACAGCATGCCCTGAAAAGTCAAAAGTTTCTAATGATCTACTTGTATGAATTTTAACTCCTTAACTAAAGATAGCAAATGGTAAAATATTGAATTGGTAAGTGCTTTCTTTTATATGTGTGTTCACATATAAAAGTTCATTTAAAGTGTAGCAGATTGAAAGTAAAGAAAAAACCTAACATAAGTTGGGAAGAGTGACTGACTAAGCAGGAGCCACACTTGGTGTACTTAGTGGTGCCAGGTAGCTGTACAGAGCAAAGAAAGGTATAACCACAGTGCTTGATACCCCTAAGATAAGGCTCAGTGATGCCACGGAGATAACAGAGCAATCACCTGTTATTATGCCTCCCTCCCTCCCTCCCTTCCCACCCCTGCCTCCCTGCTTGCCACTGCAAACTCCGAGCTGTCACCACAGAAGATAACTAGGAACAGAAGCCAACCTTCACTCAGAGGGATGCCAGGGAAAAGATTTCATGTATTCATGCTCCCACGCAAGCTTGCTGGCTCTGCAGGACCTGCTGCATTAAGGCACTGAATTAGGGTTTAGTACAAAAGGATTTCTACTAATTAAAAAGCAGCGTTGCAGAACCCTGTCTTGTCTTTAAGACAACCTGGAGGAAAGAGGGGGAGCAATTTGCAGAAATAGCATGGGCTGGTTTCCCTGTTCAGGATCATCTCATTTGTCTGACTTGTTCCATCTTCACAATAAAATATAATTTACTTTTGTATTATATTACATTATACTATAAGTTCCTCAGACAAGGAAATATACCCCTCAAAGAGATATAACCTTCTCTGAACTGAAACAACTCAGCAGGCTGTTTTCTGAATGTTTCACTCAGAGAAAGGGCATATGGGATGTTACCATCCACAGATACAACAGCCTCAAAAATTACGGGCCCTCTTTTTCCACTACAGAAACAAGGGGGTTTTCATCACATTTGTAAATGACAAATCAAATCCAAATCATACAATCAAATCCAGAAAAGATTAAGCATTTTTGTCATGAAATAAGTTGAAAGGTTTGGGTAAGGTCCTGGTAGCTTCTCACATCAAATTGCCTCATTCAGTTGCCTTGTAGGAAGATCTTGACCAGCACGAGGTAAGAACTTACCTTTTTCCTCATGAAGACGTGTACAGAAAGCAATAATCCCAAGAGTATGTAACATCCATACATTCCAGTAAAAAAAATCCCCAAAGAACAAACTTGGAAAATGATAATGCAAATCCAGTGATCTGAGTGGAAAACTGCCCATTTACTGCTGCAGACAGCTGACTCAGTAAAATCCCAGTCTTCTCACCAACTGGGTATCTATATTAGAAAAGCAGTATTTCTTCCAGAGCTGGGAACTTGTGCTTTCATATCTAGTCTAGATCAGGAGAGGGATGCATCTGATTCTGCTTCTATTTCTTGTTTTTCTTCTTAAAGAAAAGTAGGCCTCCCCATGACATCAGTAACAAAAATGCATTAAGCACCACATCACAGGTAAAATGCTTCAGCAACACATACAAGAGAAAACACCTCTGCATGTCAAACACTAGAAAAGTATTGGAAAAGATTCACTTATAACAGCCATAATCCCACCTACTTGTATGGAGTTCAGACCTGGAATCCAGCCCTCAATCCCATGCACCATACAACCTCATGACATCTTTTAAATACTTGTTTCTCTAACTGGAGCAGGAAAAACAGCATTCATAAGACTTAGGCTTCTGATAATAGTCTCTAAATGATTCAAGCATGTGAAGCATGATACTTATTAGAGCCTAGTGAAGCAACAAGATTTTCTTACTAAAATACCATGAATTTTGCCATCTCTAAATTAGGCTTATTTATCTATAGTAACAGCCTTTTGTTTATTTCATTCTTAATTAATTTATTCCTTTTTCATTAGGATAGAGGATGAAGTAGAGATCAAAATCTGAGCATCTACTTTATTAGCATAGGACTAAATAATGAAAAAGTTACTAGCTGTATTGTAAGTAGACTGAAGGTCATGTATCAAAGAAGGTAGCCCATGGATAAGATCTTTACAAGAAAAAAAAGGTTCAAGTATTGATTTTTAATATACTTGTACTTATGCATGGTGGATGAAGTCACTTGGAGGATAATAAACCAGCAGGATACCGATGCAGAACAAATTAGCAAAATAATCAATTGACTGCAATACTGCTCTGGGAGGGCCAGAAACCACAGCACTCTAACTGTGCTCCCTGCTCCCATGAATGCCAAGATAATCAGCTCCTCATTTTGATGGAACAGGGTTAATTGTACTGGTGAGCTCCTGCAGTTAAATGACTCTGTTATATTGAGCATAAATGACAGATTTACTAAATTATACCAGTGGGTGTACAAAAGTGGAACAGTACACACAACCCCAACTTCAGAAATTCAGAACAGGAGAATTTGGGCCAAATTCCAGAGGAAGAAGGCAGTCCCAACTAATGACAACTAGTAGGCATGTTTGTCTTCTTAAAAAAAAAAACCCAAACATATAGCAGTGAGGTGATCAACCAAAGGAAGTCACAGTTCTTTATTCTCTAAAGCCTCAGGATCAACGCAGGTCTGTTCCTGAAAGTGAAGTAAGAAGTTGGAAACTCATAGCCTGTATTTTTGAAGAAGTCAGGCTGGTGGTTAGACTTAGGCCCCAAAAATTGAACTGAAGACCAACTACCCTTGAAGGTGGTTTGGAACAGTGTGTCCAGATGCACAAAGACATCATCAAAGAAACCACCCTCAGGTAGCAGAAACCTGTCCTGACTTTTGGTATCATTAATTTCTGATATCCAAAGAAACATGGTGGCAACAAAAGAGAGAGGCAAAGAAGTTTAAGTGAGCCAGTCATATGCACAGCCAACTCTTTAAAAAGTAATGAGAATGGGATAGCAGGTGCATACAACAGCTTTTTGAGCTATTATCCAAAACTGACATCCCCCTGCTCTTAAACCTCATGAAGAGTTAATGAATGTGTCTTTTTCATCTCTGATTTCTTCCTAAGTAAACAAAAAGGCATTTAATTTTACTATCCACTCCATCCTCATAGGAGATGTAAATATTAGGGAAATACAACGTCAGAGAGTAGCACCTATCTCACATTCTACATTTTTGTTAAAGCCACAAAGTAACTGAGTTTTCTGTGAGTCTCCACCACAAAATGAAAGGAATAACATTGAAGCTCCTCACTAGCAAAAAGAAAGTACAGATCTACTTGAACTGTAACTAAAGTCAGATGAACCAAGCAAAACTGAAGCACTTTGAAATGGCAAAGGAGACAGCTCTCTTCTATAACCTGAGGTGGTGAAGCTGCTCAACTCCATCCAGCCAATGCAACACAGAAAATTGATGCCTTTTGTTGTGACGTGGCTGGATCCATCTGCTTGATTTCAATCTTTCTGAGCCTGTTTCATGGCCTAGAAAGAATGAGCACGGATG